TCTATAGACAATTTTTCTACTAGCAATTCTGCTCCAATTTACAACGATAGCACTTTTTCTGAAAGAAAATCGAACTGGGGATGTACATTAAGGTACATTTTTTGATTTTCCCAGGAATTTTCGAGATAAATTGGAAAACAGGAAAAAACCAGAAGAAAAATGGGCTATTATACGAATATTATTAAAGAAAAGATATCACTAAAAGCAACACTATCAACCGAACTCCACTCAGAATCGTTGTTTTGTTAGCAATGTGTTAGCACGGAGGAAAACGGGAAAATATAAGCAACGTAATTATTAGTTAAAATATATTACGAACTTCTTTTTTCCTTTGCACAACTTCCTTACTAGTTATTTTGCTCCGATTTATAATGATGGCAACGTTTCTAAAAGGAAGTTTGACCGGGAAGGTACTTTAGAGAGGTAATTTTTCGATTTTCCCAAGAATTTTCTTAGTAAATGTGAAAACCCAGGATAAAACACAGAAAAACCGAGAAAAACGTCGGGAAACTGGGAAAATCGGTATAACGTTAAATAAATATTATTAAAGAAAATATATAAAAAGCCTATTTAATTATTTCACTATAATACGACGTACAATATATTGTCGACAAAGCATCACTGTCCACTGAACTCCACTCAGAATCGTTTTTTCGTAAGTAATGGTTTATCGTTCCTTACAAGTATACATTAAATTACCTAGAACGGTGGCTACACCCGGCCCCATTTTAATCGTTTTTAACGGCAGTTGTATTTCCTTCTAGAGTATATTATTAAACGATCGCAGTCCACTATAGTCTGTAGTAATACAAATACCAACATGCCAAACTCTCTTCTCTCGGCTAATCGCAGCCGAACAGCAATTCGTTTTCTCTCTTTTAGATGGGTCTCTGGTCGCTCCTGATATTTTTGAAAAATTATGTTTTCGAATTTACTCGTACTCTACTCCCAACCAGTCTCCGTTCTCTATACCTACTCCACTTCCTTCGACTATAACCATCCACTGCACCGCATGCTCAGAAACTATAATTCTTGATCAATTTGTTTTGTATTTATTTCTTATTAATTATGTTCGGCCCGACTTATATTCTATTATGTTTACTTAACTAATCGTCTATTGTTGTATGTTCTATTTACTCTACGGTAAAACTTTCGTGTTTACTTTTCTACCCGTCTTGTTGTTTTTTATTGTATTAATTGAACTCCTTGTTCAAGTCTAATGCGGCTGGCTTAAACGGGCAGAGTCTACAGTTTTTTGTTTTTTTTGTTTTTTTTTTTTTCATATTTCAATACGTTCTCCGTCCGTGGCTGTTCGTCCGCAGGATTAATAACACTGCATACTTAAGTAATGTATAATAATAATACTAATAATAATAATAATAAGTTATAAGTTATTGCTTATACATTACATATAGGTATACCATACAATAACAAACGCTTTTACTTCGAACAAAGTCAAATCGTGTTAACGAGACGGAGCGCGCGCACGCAAATAACGCTGCGGCGGCGACGGTGGCGGGTAGGGTAAGGGTCCTGTACGATTATTTATGACGGTTGACGGCTTTCTGGTCGGCATATGAAAAAAAAAAAAAAAAAAATGAAAACGAAAAAACACGGGAATTCAATTACTCCTCGTATAATATGTGTATATAGTGGAACACCCATACATTTGTCATCCGGCACTGCGACAACACTCTCGGACGAACGTTTGCCCCGCAACCGCCGTATAATTTCACAATAAAAATAATAATAATACGAAATACAAGTGTACAATATAATATAATAGTATATACAATCGGACGGCGGAAACGATAATGTTGTAATGTAATTATTATTATTATTATTATTACGTTTTTTAATTGTCGTCGGAACGAATGCGAGTAGATTGATTATTTTCAGTACAGCGATCGAACTACGGGTTACCTCGGTGTGATACGGATGAATTTAAAAACAAAACGAAAAAAAAAAAATAAATAAATAAACAGTAAGACGGTCCGTGTAAGAAGTCTTGAAACTGAGACGTCTCAATAGAATTAACAGTTAACGGCGAGCATTGATAAATATTGCGTTTGAAATATTTACGACATTCAATCTAAATACAGAGTGTATATGATTTAATAATATATAATTCATATAAATACATGTACATCTGAACCGTCCGGGGGGCCAATTCAAACACGAACGACAATGTCATCGGAATCAGTCCAGCCGTTCAGAAGGTCGGTGACACACACGCGCGGACGGACGCGACGTATCAGAAACGTTTAGGCGTTAGTCGAAATATGTTACGACCGTATTTTTTCCTGTGAACGACTTTTCTACCCGAAATATAGCTCCGGTTTTTAAGTGTAGAGCACTCTTCTAAAAGGAAATTGGTGCGGGGAGATACTCTAAGGACGTCATTTTTCGATTTTCTCAAGAGTTTTTCCGGCACGTGCGAAAAACCAGAAAAAAAAACCCATGGGAAAACCGAGAAAATCGGTACAACATTGAACGAATATTCTTAAAGAAAATATATAAAGCCTATTTAATTATTTTATCACAATATGATATTGTCGACAGAGCGTCATTGTCAACTGAACTCCGCTTAGAATCGTTTTTTCGCAAGCAATTTTTCATCGTTGCTTACAGGCACGCATTAAATCACCTATAACACTTGGCTGCACCCGTCCCCATTATCCTAGGACGTATTTTCAATTTCGGTAATCAATTTCCTGTTTCGGATTGGTGGAACTCGATGTAATCCGGTTTAGTCCCGGAATCTCTGTAGGTTTCTCCTCTACGCCGATCGCCGGCCCTTTTTTATTCTGCCGAAGTAACCACGCAAAACAACTATGCGCGTCTATTATTAAGCTTTGGATAACCGGTGGAAGCTCAACTGGAGACATCAAGTTGTTATAAAACCTCCGGACACGGCTATAATATTTTATTATAAAATATTTAATATTACTATGGCGTTACTCAAATCTTTTAGTGCAGCATTATTGTTTAATTTTGTTCGTGTACATACATTATTTAAGGCACATTTTTTTTTTTTCAAATGGTCTATAACTAGATTTTGATATTCTATTTTTTTTTTTTTTTTTTGAAAATGCGTAATAAACAATTTCACCGGAAGTGTACCGCACGGGCAAATAGTGAATATGTCGTTTGAAAAAAAAAAAAAAAAACCATAGCATCTTTTGCTAGTCGAAAACACGTTTCCCGAGAAGAAAATAAAACACACGCGTACACACGCATTTTAGTGAAACGATTTCGCGCTTCTAATGCGCCACTGTGAGTCGGATATCGAAATAGACGTTTGAAAACGGCGCGAAGGACGGAAGAACGACGGTTTCTTTCCCGGAGTTAATTTTTAATATTATCTCGCCGCCGAATTCAATTATTAAACGCGATTTTCCATAGCAAGTTTTTATTTATAATAACGTCATTGCGCAGCGCGAGGCTTATATCGTATTACGTACCTACGTTATTTACGTCGTCGTCGTCGTCGTATAACAATAATAATACAATAAGTGCATTTTGCGCAGCCGTGTCCGGTGTATATAAACGCGGATTATGTTTCATCGCGCTAAACCGTGAAACGTTATAATATTGTTGTCGTTTTTATTAAGTAGATGTACGAAATCGTTTTGTTTGTTTTATTTCGGCGGTGTTTATGTATATATAAATATAACAATAAACGTACGTTTTTTTTCGGGCCCTCGCCCTCGCACTTCCGCACAACTGCGCGAGGTTTTTCGGCAAATTTCCGTGAAACTATATTGCAATGTAATCCTACGTAAAAGCGTAAATAATCGTTTCAATATTTTATCGTTTTTTTTGTATTTTTCGAACGCGGTTTGCGTTGCGACAAAATTGAAACTACAGTCACAGTTCGACCTAACGCGACAGTGTTGCCACTTGAGTGCGCCACACATAAATTCACAATATTAACGACGCGCGTTACCTACGTAGAGGTAATTTTTTATAACTATGCGCGTTAATTATTGTTAAGCTTTGGACCGGTGAAAGCTCAACTGGAGACATCAAGTTGTTATAAAACCTCCCGACACGGCTACGATATTTTACTATAAAATATTTAATATTACTATGGCATTACTCAAATCATTTAGTGCAGTACTTTTGTTAAATTTTTTTTTTCGAGTACTTACATTATTTAAAACACATTTTTCTCAAATGGCCTATAACTAGATTTTGATCTTCTATTATTTTCTTTCGTAGGACAGTACTTGTATTTCGATGCATTTTCCTATGTCCTTAACAAAAGTGTTAAGTGCATGAAATTGTTTTCTTTTTTTTAAAAAAAATTATAAATAATTAATTAATTAATAATATTAAATACGTAGGAGACACATATTAATAAAGTTCTGTATTCATCTCTTTGAACGTTTACCTTTAAAAATTAACGTACAGTCGAGATGTATAGTTAAGTTATACCTATGCGGCTGTGGACTTCAAGTTGACTTGGAATTGCTTAAATTTCAAAGTGTTTTCACCGGAAAGAAACATACCAAACGAGTTAACATTGTCATTTCAAACGGTTAAATATTGAAGTTGATAATAGAAAAAAAAAAGAATATAGAGAAATCGGATGCTAGAAAAAAAAAAATGTATACAGATGGAGATATGCTGAGGGCAAAATGGGCAGAAACTATTCTGGTATACTGGCAATACACATTAACCAATTCTTTCAACGGAGCGGGTTTTCCTTTACGACGGACGACCCAAATTTTAAAATGTACTTTTTCCGGATTCCCGTGTCTGGTCACCGTACGAGGTGTGGTTATTAAATAACGAGACTGCTCGCCTAGAGGACGCCCTAGATGGGTAGTGAAAAAAACGAGTAATGCATTGGGTATCTAGATATCTTATCTATGCACGTACCAAAACACGTTTTCGTCACTATTATAGTATTTGTGCAGCAGTGTCGCCCTATCACTGTTTCAACTCCGGAAACAGTGACCGAAATCAACCAAATTGTGCGTGCAGATCGTCGAATGAGCATCCGGATGATTGCCGAGGCTGTAAACGCCGATAAAGAAACGGTTAGAAAAATTTTACATGAGGAATTACATATGACAAAAGTCTGTGCGAAGTTGGTGCCAAAAAACCTGACTCCTGACCAAAAGTTCTTGCGTCAACAGGTCTGCTCAGATTTCCTTGAAAAGTTAAAAAAAGATCCCGGTCTGATGAAAAACATTATAACTTGCGACGAAACATGGATTTTTCCATACGATGTCGAAACGAAGCGACAATCGATGCATTGGAAGACACCTGAATCGCCCAGAATCAAAAAACAAGGATGTCCAAATCAAAATTTAAGGCAATGTTGATCGGTTTTTTTTGACATTAACGGTATCGTGATGACTGAATGGGTTCCAGAGGGTCGGACTGTGATCCAACATTACTATTTGACAGTTTTGGCAACATTGCGCGAATGAGTTCGTAAGAAACGGTCGATACTGTGGAAAAACAAGTCCTTGCACCAGGATAAAGCGTGAAGCGTTATTTGGCCGCTTAAGGCACTCCAGTGCTCGAACACGCGCCGTACTCGCCAGATTTGGCACCGCGCGACTTTTTTTTGTTTCCAAAGATAAAATCTGCATTGGAAGGGACCCGATTTGAGTCGATGGAAGCGGTAAAGCAAAAAACGGCAGAGCTCCTAAAGGCCCTCACCAAAGAAGACTTCCAGCACTGCTTTGATCAATGGAAAAAAGTACGGAAAGGTGTGCGGCGAGGGGAGGGGTGTATATTTGAATGTAGAATAATATTTATAGTAAAACACTTTTTCGTAACCAGTCTCGTCGTTTAATAGCCACACCTCGTACACCCACAATACGTACACGATATATTATAATAACGGACGACGCGTCTCGCCAATAACGACATGACGACGTTATAATTTGACGGCGCGACGCCGGGCGGACGCGTTTCGAGTGTCTCTCGTGCCGTCGCGGGGCGGCGAACCGCGTTAAACGAGTGGGGCGCGCGCCGACGCGCGGCGTTTCGAGTGCGCGAAACGGCCGCGGGACCGCGAACATTATCACGATAATAACATTTTTTTAACGCGGATTTTCCGCGGCGATGAATCCGACGCGCCGCGCGCTATTGTCACGCCGCAGAGTTTTCGTCGAAATGGAATCTAATAAAAAAAAAAAAAAATATTCGATTACGGTTTACGCGGCGATTTCGAGTGGTCGGCGTCGAATCGCGCCGGATATTCGGCCCGATGCCTCTATCATCGTTAGAGGGCGGGGAGAGGGGTGGGTGATTTGCGTGACCGCGACGGCCTGTGTGGCAACACAGTCGCGACCGTATGTATCATTGGGTTGACAGTGTTATAATATTTTAGACAAAATCCGAACACCGGTTTGCGGATTGGGAGCGCCCGCTGTTGTAGATGAGAAATTGGGAAGGTGGGATGCGCAAGGTTATTTAATTTATATCTGTGAACAACGGTAAACCGTTGCTCGACAAAAGATGGTTCCGACCGCAGGTGGGTAAATACATAATTTGAAGTGCCGTAATTTTTTTCGCGATTTTCGTTTAAATTTGATTTCAAAACGCTTATATTAAAAAAAAAAAAAATTCATCGGATAATTTTGGAAATTTTACCTTTCTTAGGTAAGTCCAATATAAGTATTATAGGTTATAGTATTATTATTATTATAAGTATTTATAACCGAATTACAACAAAAAACTAGCAAAGATTAAAATTCCTTAAAAACTCAAAAGTGGCTCAACATTTTTGGCGATGTTACCGTTAGAAAGTAAATTTAAAAGGCAACAAAAAAAGGTGTCTAGTGATTCATCGATTAAATCGTTTTTGTTTGGTAGAAAACGTCGTTCGTGTTTTTATACAATAATTAAATCGTGAAGTTGTACCTTTTCCAACGTTTTCTCCCATTCAATTGCTATTATTTTAAAACTTGAGATTTCAGAAAAGGCGCTACACGTAAAAATCGGAAAAAGTTTACTGGGAAAAAACATGGCCAAAGAACAAAGAAGAAGAAGAAGAAGAAATAAAACAGCATTGTAAAACCAATAGCTCCCCCGCAACTCTCGGAATCTAAAACAAATAATATATATAATATAAAAGATGCGGTAATTTTCTAATTTTTTATTGACCGGTGTCTCTTTTGGGCGGAATCCACTCTATTTAGAAATCGACGCAGTGACGTGCCTGAAGTAGCTCACCAGCACGATCAAATTAGTTCAAACTATGTCGTCATTTGCAAATATTTGCAGTTATTTTTGTTTGTATTCGGATTGCCCCTGATACGTATTGAAAGAAATTAATCAACTAGTCTACAAAACTATCTGTTACATCTACATTAAGGCAATCGACGTCGAATAAAATCGGAAGTACGTTTTACTATTTTCGAACAAACTCCGTTAGATTTAATATAACCGGTAAACTCTTTTCGTATACAATCTCTCGTCGGTACATGTAACATCTGCGAGGAAACTGAAAAATAGAACTGGACAAATATATACGAAAAAATGAAAAATAGAAGTATCAAAAACAATCTTCATTAAAGAGGAATACATTGAACTGTTAGAGAAAGAGCGTGACGCTGCTCGGTTGAAACGAAAGAGAACAAACTCTTATTTTAATAAGAAATGACAGGATTTGCATACAGATCATATTTTCGCTTTTACTGTTAATAACAAAGGGAAATGTCCATACGTCGGTGTACTTGCCGGAAAATATGGGACCGAAAATGTATACTTCTTAAAAGGCTCTTTCGAAAATGTCTTTATAAATATTTACGACACCGGAGAGAAACTTAAAGTAGAGGGATCCGCGTGATTTCTATTGATATGTTTAACGATGTGGAATACTATTTAATACTAATGGAGTTTCTACATTTGATTAGGCGTTCGTTGGCACGGGTGAAAAACGTTCAACTTATCTCGGAAATGTTTACAAGATATGGATGGTTTACCTTTAAACCCAAAGCGATGCACAATAAATCGAGGAAATAACCATACCAGAAATGAAAAGACGTGTCGAAGTTACACAACGTCGGCGTTCGGAAGAAACGCGAGAGAAACCGGAAGTTTATCTGGAATCAAACAAATTTATCGTAGAGAAAAACTCCGTTACTCATTACATACTACGGTTCGAAAATCTGAACTCGTTTGACGTGTCGGATTTCCCGTCGGAGAGAGGAACGGCGGATTTGAATTATAAGGTAAAATATTAAAAGCACTCCCAGTAAACAACACGAAGAAAAGCCGGCTATTTTTTTTGTTTAACGTTAAACAGAAAAATAATATTGTCAACAATAGAACGATAATAATAATAATATTTAAAAATGTTTTGTGTTGTTTACGCTGTGTTTAGTATACGCGTGTGAAAAAATGATAAATTAAAGATACGGTCTGTACGAAGAGGCGGACAATTCGGGCGGCCGCGTATTGGGCGCAGCGCCGGCACCAGTTCGTCGTGGCTTCGGCCCCGGACCGTGAATCAGAACCGCTCGTGTACGTCGCAATTTGTGTATGCAATTTACCGGTAAACGCGACCCGCGTCGACCATATCGAGACCGTTTTAAAACCGAAATGCACTGCACGGCATGCCTTTTCGGGCCGGTCTCACGTTGTTGTTGCGCGGCGCGCACGTGGCGATAAATAAAATGCTTATTTCGGTTCGAAAAAAAAAAAAAAAAAAAACAAACAAACCCAAATGACAATTTACGTTCTCCGGTTGTGTATCGCAAGGAAAGGGAAACGACCTGACCGTATCGCGTATACGCGAGGCCCGCGATTCCGGAGGGACCGCGAAGCGCGTGCCGCCGTTCTTTCGTTGTGCAGGCACGCGACGGGCACCGCAATTGTACACTGTTTTATACTTGTGCGGCCGCCACTTGCCCGCCGCGATAAATATATTCTACAAACTTGACTCGGGAGGGGGGGGGGAGGGGAGGGGAAAAATATCACGGTAACGAGGCGGGTTCGCCGAATCGGGCGCGTACATAAATCGCGTGTAAAACGTAGAGCTTAAAAACCCCTGACGCACGTCGCATCGTAAACGTTAAGCGGTTTAGCGGCGTTTTTTATTTATTTTTTTTTTTGTAAAACTGATACAACGTGCGCGGTGGCCGCGCGCGTCCGGTTTAAGGGGCGGGCGTATCGCCCGGCACCGGTAGTTTTTAAACATAAAATATTGAACCGTTTTAATCGCGTTGGAAAAAGCGGACGACTATTCAAATTGACAGGTTTAAGACGACAGTCGATCCACCGGTGCACCGGTATCCCGGTACGTTTCGAAATCATCGGCAACAGCGGCCGCAGCCAGTTCGCGGTATTGTACGCGGTATTGTACCGGAAAAACCCATCGAAAACAAACGATTTCACGATTTCATTATTTTTCAAAAACACGGATGACGTCTTCTACCGGAAAATATGATTCAATCGACAAATCACCGGACACCTCTTTGATGCCTTTTCGGTTTACTTTCTACAATATCATCGCCAAAACTTTTGAGCCACTATTGAGTTTTAAAGGAATTTAAAATTTTGAGAGTCTTTTGCTGTAATTCGGCAATAAATACACGTAGAGACTTGAAACTGAGTAATAACACTTATATATTGGACTTACCTAGATGTGGTGAAATTTCCAAAATCATCGAATGACTTTTTTTTTAATAAACGTTTTGAAATCAAATTGAAACGAAAATCGCAAAAACAATGACGGCACTTGAAATTACGTACCACCGAACTGCGGTCGGAATCGACTTTCGTCAAGCAATGGTTTGCTTATAGATACAAATGAAATAACGGTGTGTATCCTAACTCGCCAACTTCTCATCTACAAAACAGTGATCGCTCCGATCCCCGGTAACGGCTCTTTTTTTTTTTTTTTGAGGGTCCCTTGAGAATTCAAGACACCGCGATTCCACTGTATCGGTGTTTGGTGTGATTATTTGCAATTTTTCAGTTACGTCCGGTCCGAAAATCGAAAGGTTTGTCACATCTCTACAATTATGTATGTACTCGTTATAAACTTTTTCTTGAACGATTCTGAAATGATTTTCAAATGCGTTCCGTGTGTACCCGTGTGTAAATAAAATATTAATAGTATTTTGTACGAGATTTGCGCGAGTTAGTCCTTGTGGTCCCGAGACGGCGGCATGGAGGGGTCGCACGACGGACGCCATCATCGTGCGGTATACCACCTACGGTGATAATAAATTTAAAAAAAAAAAAGAGAAAAGAAAAAAAAAGAGCGATCTGGTGTTTGTTTGATTTGGTTTTGTTTTCTATTTGTTTCCACCGTACGCTCGCCGCGCAGCTAATAGCCCCGTGCACGCGTATTTTATCATACACGGCGACGGCGGCGTTTTGGATTCGTGACGGGAGAAAAATCGCAACGCGACACGACGACGTCGCGCGCGCGATATTATGACGAGATAAACAAATCAACAAATCCTTATATTATCCTCTCCGCAGCCACACATTTTTTACAATAAGAACTCGTGTTCACACACACACACACACACGTACGCATACGGTTTTTTTCTACGTGCGCATTATAATAATACGGCTGACGTTAAAGGTAAATCTACGCGCACACGAAAATGCGACCGGATCCGCGCTAATTTATGTGCGCGACACGCGTGGCGTCGGAGACATTCGCGCGGCCGAGAGACGCGACCCCAGACACACGCTGCGGCCGCGGAAAAGAAAAACGCCGCGGTCGTGTCGCGTGTTTTATTATTCTAAGACGATTTATTTTTCCTTCTGCGATGCGCTTTTCAACTCGCGCCGTCGCCGTTGATCTCCAGGATTCGACGCGAAAGTGGTTCGAAATTGAAAAAAAGTGGGCCAATAGTGATTTTAGACGTTTTCGAAAAATTGCAAACTATTGTATAAAAATACTTTCTATGCACATTTAGGTATTCGAAAAAGCCCGACTTAATCCAAAAAGAGTAACTTATAACTTTACAAATTTACGTTCAAGGAAAAAAAATGTTTTCACCCATAAATGTTTGTAATTTCGGTAATACTTTAGGTTTTTGTGCGCTATGAAATACTATTAGAAATACAATTAACAGCGGGGTTTTTTTTTTTTTTTATTTACCAGTACCAGTGTATCCGAATTGGTTTCAAAACGTCCGAATCGGTTCCGGGGTCAAATTTTCAATTTTCCTTCCCATTTTCTACAGACTTGAGATATTATGTCCACATAATATTATACAGGTGTGATTAAAAATTATGATTTTTTTTTTTGCTACTTTTATTTTTATAATTTTTTGTTATGTTATATAATAAGTAATAAGATTAATAATAATTTTTTTTTTTTAATTACATATATTTTTAATTATAAATTTATAACAAACATTTTTTATAAACTCTTATCTATTTATTTTATTATTTTTATATTTGCCCATTTCTGTTTTTATATGTATTTCCTTATTTTTAGATTTAAGATTTCGTGGTTTTTCTGTACTCCGCAATTTTGTATACGTTTCAATTTGGACTTTTTTTTTAATACGTCAATAAATTGAAAAATGTTCGGACGTGTGTAATAGAAGCAACTGTTGAACTTGCTGTGAATCATTTCACAGCGATTAGTTGTTCGTTCAACACTACTCGTATATTCAGCCCATATTGTTGGTGGAAATGAGCTATGTTCTAAAATATAATTTTCTAATATGTAATCAAAGAATTCGTCAAGCTTTCCATTAATCGGTTTTAACGACATCAACTCGTCAATGTAGCGATCGTTAACTTCTTCGGGAGATAACAAGGATAAAACCAATTTATATCCTTATAATCCTTATGTCCTATCTCTAATACAATAAGTTTTTTTTATTTTTTTTTTTGCACTGTACATAAATTCCATATTTGAACAAAAGTTAAAAACGCTGAACTGTAGAAAACCACTATACGTACACTCTGCGGTTATTACGGTGGATTACTGAATATCGATAATACAGCGCCGGTTTTATCACGGTTTTTATCTAAATGGCAATTTATTTCATTTTACACATCCGTATTTATAAAGATGGGAAATATGTTATAATAATACATTATTAGATTGCATTTCGCCTTTTTCGAAAGTGTTTATCGGGAACCAATTCGGACGTCGATTTTCAAGTATGCGAACCGATTCGGATGCAGCCATAAAAACTATAGTAGGGTATTCATCATCATTATTTTTGAAATATTATATCTGTACTGTTAATAATTGTTGGGTTAACAAATTAATACTTAGCTATATGTTTAACAACTTACCTTTTTAACCGGTTCTTTTACCGACCATCACGCCAGTACATGTATTTCAAATATCTATAAGGTGTATAGAACCGGTAAATGTTTGGATCAGCTGCCCATATTTGCCCTTTGGAAAACTGTAATACCATGTTGAGTTTTGGCCACCTTTTTTCAATTTTGTACAACTGTGCGACGAGTTTCACGTCGGTCGTTAGATAATTTTTCAATTTTCTGAGGAGTTTTCCCAGTTCACGTCCCATGACGTTGTCGGACGACCTGGTCATATTTATATTTTCGTTAGACCGCGATGAACTTACGAAATTTGCTCGTTTGTCGCCCTTCGGCCGTTATAATATTATAGGTTTTTCAAATGTTCATATACTCGTAAAAAAAATATTACATTCGTTACATATTGCGTATTATTTATTCCCAATATTTGACTCGTGTACACTAAGGTGATCCTTTAACTTGAACTTTGGAAATTTGTTAATTAAACAACCTAAATTTGTTCAAACACACTTAAAAAGTTTAAAAAGAGGGGAGTATATTTGAATGTAGAATAATATTTATAGTAAAACACTTTTTCGTAACCAGTCTCGTCGTTTAATAGCCACACCTCGTACACCCACAATACGTATACGATATATTATAATAACGGACGACGCGTCTCGCCAATAACGACATGACGACGCGACGGTGACGTCGCCGCCGCCACCGGTTATGCCGCGCTGCTGCAGCCGCGGCGGCTGCCGTCGTGATGAGCTGTTGGGTACGGCGCGTCGCGGGATTCATTATCGATCGCCCGAGCACAATGTTCGGCCGAACGCGATGAATTCGCGAGTAACAATTGTTTGGCCGACTTACTAACACGTTAAACTACCGAAATACCCACTTGGCAGGCATACACTCTGTACGTACTCGGTGTGCACAGAGCAGGCGATACTGCGGTTAGGTACCCGTGTCCAATCGGTTTCATTAATCGTATATTGCGTTTATCGTTATGATTTTCGCGTAAAAAAAAATCTAACGCGCGTGCCGGATCGGTCTGGCAGCGGTGACGCGCGCGTAGTCCCGAGAGAGTTCTGCTTTAGACGAAAACTGCAACGTCCCGTCGCGACCGACGGACAACGTGAACCGGATTGTCGGGCGAAAAAGAAAATTCGACTCGAACGCGACCGTAAGCAATCGGACGGTTATAAACGGATTTAAAAGACAATATTTGCAACGACGTACACGATTCGGCTGGCCCGGCACCCGTGGAAAATCGTACCGGTACCCGGTACCGGGGTGCCCGGGCCGCCGCCCTAGACGCGCCCGGGGCGGTGGGGGGTGGGGCGGGATCTGTCCCGCACATAGTCCCCGCAATCGCGCCCCCGGCACCGTGCACGGCCGTTATACTCGTCTACGATAATAACAATACTA